GGATAAGTCTCTATGAGCTTGCCACATCTTACCACTGGGATTTTTTTCAAGTGTTGCTTTGGCAGTGTGTCACGCACAGAGTGGTACAGGTTTTGCTCAAGAATATCCCTGTATTTAGCAGCATCCATCTATCCCTCAACTCTGACCAGTTTCCCAGCCCCGGCTGCTGAAAAACATCCCCACAGCATGATGCTGCCACCACCGTGTTTCACTGTGGGAATGGTGTTCTTTGGGTGATGTGATGTGTTGGGTTTGCGCCAGACATAGCATTTTCTTTGATGGTGGAAAAGTTAAATTTTAGTCTCATCAGACCAGAGCACATTCCTCCATACATTTTGGGAGTCTCCCACATGCCTTTTCGCATGCTCAAAACGTGCCATTTTGTTTTTTGCTGAAAGTAATGGCTTTCTTCTGGCCACTCTGCTATAAAGCCCAACTCTATGGAGCATACGGCTTATTGTCGTCCTAAGTACAGATACTCCAGTCTCTGCTGTGGAACTCTGCAGCTCCTCTAGGGTTACCTTAGGTCTCTGTGCTGCCTCTCTGATTAATGCCCTCCTTGCCCGGTCCGTGGGCGGCCGTCTCTTGGCAGGTTTGCTGTTGTGCCATGTTCTTTCCATTTGGTTATTATAGATTTGATGGTGCTCCTGGGGATCATTAAAGATTTGGATATTTTTTTTTTATAACCTAACCCTGATTTGTACTTCTCAACAACATTGTCCCTTACTTGTTTGGAGAGTTCCTTGGTCTTCATGGCAGTGTTTGATTAGTGGTGCCTCTTGCTTAGGTGTTGCAGCCTCTGGGGCCTTTCAAAAAAGGTGTGTATATGTAATGACAGATCATGTGACACTTAGATTGCACACAGGTGGACATCATTTCCAGGGGAGGGCTGGCAGCCTTAGGCCTGGGGGGCAAAACCAGTCAAGTGGCCCATTGCACCACCTAATCAGTGCAATGGTGCCCACCTTTTCCTGGTTTTATAACGGATATTGATGTTATGCTAATCAGTAGCTCTTTGCCATACCCGCTCTTTCACGGCTCTGACTTTCAATGTTGTCAGAGCGCAGGCTGAGAATCTCTGAGCCTGTGCTCTGACTCACTAACTGAGCAGCGGAACCATGAGGGAGAGGCTTTAATCTGACTGCACCTACTGCTGGTGCGCACCAGTGGACCACCAGCGAATCGTTTAAA